CTCTCTCCTCTCACACACACACACATCATAGTGTTTCTCTGAAAGTATAAGTGTAAATTTAGGCTTTCTCTCAAATTAAGACCAGCAAATTTTTTAAGGAAGTGAGACTACATGGTTAACCAGCTTGTCAGCCTGTAATGTTGGCTTCCAGAATGCCAGACAAGGCCTGATTATTTGTTTTGTTTTGTTTGTGTCTCTAAATTGACTGGTGCAAAGCTAGAATAAGCAGTTCCTGGAACACCTAGTTAAACCAGACTGTAGTTTTATTATAACATTTGTCCCAAAGAAGCAGTGAAGCACTTTCATTCAGTTTTTGTGTATGTAAACAAAGCGTTCATAAGCAGTGTTTGAAAATGAAAGTGTCCTTCCAGCTATAAACTTCAGTGTTGCAAATTATGAAGTACAAAGGTTACGTTGGAGGAAAATGACCTCATAATTAGAAGAACTGTTTCTTTATTAGACAGACAGAGCTGTGCAGTTGCTATTGGAAACAAGTGCAGATAACCAGCATTATTATTGTGATTCGCTGAAAGCCTGTTTGGTCACAACTGTCACCTCGTCGGGCCCCTCCCAGAGCACCATTAAACTGGTGGCAACTAATATGATTGCCAATGGCAAGTTGGCAGGTAAGACGTGCTTTGTGGGTGTGTTTGTCAATACTCTGGAAAATCGGGCCCATTCCCCACAAAGGGTTTTGTTATTAGGGATGTTCCCTCCTTTTTTATAGATGCTGGAGAAAGAAAGATTATTGCTAGCTCTTTAGCAGGTAATCATATAATTTAATCATCTAAACCAGAACACTTTTTAAGAATGAAATGAGGCACTATTTCTAACTTCCAAGATAATAGGCATAAACTGGACAAACCTGGGCAAACGAAAACGATGAAAACCAGTGAGATGCTTTACCTGTTTATTTTCTGGACTGTATCGTGTTTCCTACCTGGTTATTTGAGTGGTGACACTGTAGAACTGTGTCTTAGTACTTTATTTTAAAATCTAAGTCAGGAGTGTCTCCAGCAGGTGTATGCACAAGACTAGATGAGGTCAAATGGTGATTTTTCCTTCTAGTGACTTGTCAGAGTGAGAGCTGAGTGTCAATGGAGGGGCTGTCGTTTTGTCTTCCAGAGGGTGTCCAGTTGCTCTGCCTGATAGACAAGGCTGCAGACGCCTGCCGCTATCTGCAGACGTACGGCGAGTGGACCCGGGCAGCGTGGCTTGCAAAAGTAGGTGATTCCAGTTGTGCCTTGAACATTTAGGATAGACATTTCAGTCTCGAACTTTCACTCGTGACTTAGAAGCATTTTCTGGCTGCAAAGCTGCTTTGCAAATATTTTCTTGTAACTCTCATCCTCCTTTATGAGTGTAAATTATGTTTCTTATTGGAAGATGAAGTTTGCAATTAAGAGAAAGCAGCTGGCTCCTCTGCCCTCCAGGGTGTGAGCTCAGACTGTATCCCTGAGGTGTTGCCAGGCTCCGGGCCGTGAGCTCGGGCCATTCCCGCTGCTGGTCGTGGGAGGCAACAGCATCGGGGCCCTGTGCTGATGAAGCAAAGCCAAGCGTGTGTTCACAGGAGCAGCTCCTATTTCGGTGGAAGTAATTTTTTTAATACAGTGCAGAATGTCTTTGTTTTTAACATGGCATCTTTCTCAGGTCCGTTTAAATTCTGAAGAGTGTGCTGATGTCTTAAAGAGGTGGGTTGACCACCTTTGCTCTCCGCAAGTCAACCAGAAGTCGAAGGCCCTTTTGGTCCTCCTCTCCCTGGGCTGCTTTTCCAGCGTGGCTGAGACGCTTCACAGGTACGCCCACAGTGCGGTGGCTGGTCACGGGGCGCACGATTAATCACCTCCTGCTCCCTTGAGGCTCTGCCAGGTGGATGGCAGTGCTCGGTGCCTGGCGTGAAAGGAGACGCATCCATTCTAGATGTGTTTTTAAATACTTAAAGGGACTAGAGTAGTCCATGTCCATTAGTTCTTCATTTGTTCTAGGAGTTATGATATTTTCCTGCCTACACACTGGTCAAACCTAACAGGTATCTATTTCAAAAGAATATAAAAGAAGTCTTTAGAGAATTGAGGACAATTCAGCTTTGAGTAGAGTGACTAAGATGGAATCCAGAGAGCAGTGGGAAGGGTGACAGAAAGTGTGGCAAGTTGGAGATGTCTTCCCTGATCATCTTGAAGAGTAATGCCCATAACTTACTATGGGGAATTTTATTTATTTAAAACTAAGGGAGGGAGGTTGGGGCAAATACGGCAAAAGATTCCTTATTAAATCTGGATGGTGGATGCGTGGATACTTGTCTTAGCTGTAGATTTCTGTGTATTTCAACTATTTCTCATTTTTTAAGTATTACTAAAAAAGAGTCTGGGGTTAGGGACATGAGTGCGCTCCCCTCCTTTACTCTGTAAGCCAGGACTTAGAAAGCTGATAGTGTAACATGCGTACACCGTCTTTATACAGAAATATGCCCTGGGATGGTTCTGCCCCCAAAGCCGGGAATCACAAAGCCTGACTCTCATTTTGTTCCGTTGAGCAGCATGAGATACTTCGATCGAGCTGCCTTATTTGTGGAAGCTTGTCTCAACTACGGCGCATTTGAAGTCAGTGAGGACACAGATATCCTTTGCCTGGATGTGTATGCTGAGGAGGAAGCAAATGACCTGAGTGGGTTGTAGGATTCCTCTTAGTCATGCTGCCTGGGCGGGAACTATTTTACATCTAGAAGGGTCCGTATTCGGAGTCTCCAAAGCCAACAAAGAGGGAGAAGTGGCAGGGAAAGAACCAAAAAGAAGGTTATTGCGTCACTGGTGTCAGCTCTTTGAGGGACACAGAGGCAGGAAGGACTGTAAAAGGGGGGACCGCAAGCTGTCGCATCTTGCTTGAACTTAAAAAGAAGATAAAGGATGTAACTTAGGAAAGGCATAGGCACCTGCTACTTTAAAATGGCACCATTCCAGAATGATGCACTCCATGGAATAAAAGTTTATATTTACCTGGAAAATGTATACAGGAATAAATTAAAAAGACTCACTGTTATCCATAGTGACAGTCCAGTGTGGGGCAAGACACAGCTCTTCAAAGGCATGCGTCATGTAGGCAAGTTGCCGCGGTCCGCCAGTCACCAGGGACATCTCTCTTCTCAGCATCAGTCGAGTCACCTTGTTTTCTTTGAGAAGAATGCGCTTGAGAACACAGCTCCCGTCTCCTTGTGCTTGCAGAGCGCTGCTGGTTTTCGTCACACTTTTTCTTGACTTACTACATTGTGGTCTCATTTCTACAGGTCAGATACTTGGTTTTCTGTGTATATTTTTTACAGAAAATTAAACTAAAACTTACTCAGGCTCACATAGCTAGGCACTGTAAACTTGACTGTAGTTCGAAGGAGCCATTTTGAATGTCAGGGCTCAGTGAAACGGCCATCTGAAAACCCAGATACCTGGAGTCCTGCCTAGGGACGGGCTTTGTAAATGGAAGCTCTCTCTGAAGCTGTATCTGCCCCCAGACTGCCAACCTGTCAAACTTCAAAGTGGCACAAGTTTCTCTTCTGTCATCTCCCTTTTTCCAGTTTTCAGTTGTGTTCAGGTCATGGGAGAATCTGGGAGGATGTTAGTTGGGTCTTCTGGGAGAAGGAGAACCTTTGGACTCAGCTGGTGCTGAGTGGAGTGATGTTACAGATTGAGACGTCGCCTCCCCAGCCAGGAATGGCCGCCCCCTGGGACGGGGTGCCTGCACGCACCCCTCGCTGCCTTCCTGTGGGCACCCTCAGTCCCTCCTGAGCATGGGGCAGAGCTGGCCCTTCTTTGCGCCTGTGGGAGCCTGAGTGGAGTGTACTCACGTCCTTGCCCCTTTTCCTTAACTGTGGTTTACAGAAACTCGTCTCTGCGATATATGCAGATTATGCCCGAAGTTTGAAGAGCCTCGGTTTTAAGCAGGGAGCAGTTCTTTTTGCTTCCAAAGCTGGAGCAGCTGGCAGAGACTTACTGAATGAGCTGGAATCCCCCAAGCTGGAATCGGCTAAAGAGTGACAGGTTAATAAGTGCCAGGGAACCTGACCTCCTAGCCGGGTGGGGCAGAGCATTAGTCTGGCTGTGGTCAAGGTCACAGTGAAGACCGATGGGGATGCCATCCTGGGTCCTGGTGAGCTGTTTCACCACGTTTCTCGTACTCCACGTGCACAGCAGTGTATGAGCACTTATGTTGTTAAAGCAGGTTCTGTGTCCTGTGTTTGTCTCAGAAAAACATGAACACTTCAGATTTTGAAAGTATATGACTTTTTGTGCTTTGGGAAAGAGACCTATAAGAGTCCCTGGAAATAAACTTTTATTTAATTTTTTTAAACTGAAAATTCAAGCAACTGAATTGCTATTCTATTAACTAAATTTAAAGGTGTTTTAAAAATCTATGGTGAAAGAAGTTTGTGAGGCCTATTCTTAAATATGGGCTGTGCCTAGGTTTATATACAATCATTCAGGATACAAACAGAAGTATTTAAGCAGTAAAGATGACTCACCAAAGCATTCCTTGTTTTCTGACCTTGAAAACACAGAACTGTTCATTCCTTAGTTTAAGCAGTTGCTAAACTTTGTAATTTTGGGCTCGTAGGCTCCAAGGGAAATTTTAAGCTTTATGTTTTATTCTAGTATGTGGAGTCTTTGATATTTTGGATTTTACCTCCTTCTGTGATGTATCATGGTAACTTCCTTTTTAAAATCTTTGTGCTTTATCTGTCTTTGTGTTGTAATATGAGATGTGACTTATAAATTATTGTTGAAAATTTGAATGGCTGTAACTTACAGAAATGACAAATAAAAAGGAAATTCTGGCCAGGCCTTTGTGTTCTCTGCTTGTGCATGAGGCCAGCAGCCGTGCGGGCTTCCCAGGGGTCAGTCCCGCTGCCCAGCCCCCAAAGTCCAGGGTGCTTGCTGAACCCAGAGAACCTGGGCCGCGGGGACCCAGGGCTGCAGCACAGAGCAGCACCGGGCACCTGCACCTGGGCAGGTCTGCCTCTGGGTCCCGAGGGAGTGGGGCTCAGTGTGCGGCTGAAGAAGGTGAGGACAGCAAGTGGCCTTCCGACTTGTCCCTCCTGGGTGTCCAGGGTGGTACATGTCCTCATACCTACCAGGAGGTAGGATTTTTAGGTAGAATCATAGGTTCTGCCTCCTCAGCTGAGAAACTGAGACCCATGGAGAAGAAGGGCCTGTCTGTCCCCAGAATGCTTGTTCCCAGGCCGGTGCTTTGCCTAAGTGTCCTAGAGGAAATGCAGGATCCTTTCGTGGGTCCTGTACCTGGTTCCTGTAGCTGGTCTGTTGACTTGTCCTTTCTTTGCCGAGGCAGGTTACAGCAGAATTTGTAAAGGCCGTGGGCAAACGCAGCTTTTTTATACTGTTTATTATTCAATGATTGTCTGGATAGATTTCATTTATTCAGCCACCAACTAGCTAACAGAATAAAGAGTGCTAGCCTTCGGAAGCAGAGAGGAAAAAGAAGTTTTATTCCAGAGCAGGGCGTGTTGAAAATTCAATATGGATTTGATGACTAGGTGGTGAGCATTGTCTGAGTTGGGGGAGCAGGCACAGCCCCTGAGTGGGGACCCTCTGAGCAGACGAGGCTGAGAGCCTCGACTTCCGTCACAGTCCAGCTGGCTGGAGTGGCAGCCGTTACCCTTCAGGACACGATGGAGACTGAGTCTGTGTCAAGATGCAAGTGGATGTCCTGTTCCAAACCACCGGCATCTCCCTTTCCCTGGTGACCTTGTGGACTCAAGGCCGAAACTGCCACCGCACCTCCGGTAAGCACAGGAAGTCAAGAGCCGACAAGGGTGAGTCACTTCCACAATCGGCCTTTCTGAACTTGGGCTTGTCTTTCCATGAAGGGTAAGAGCAGTGTGGTATGGATGCATTACTGAAGAGCTTCCAGGGTGAGACAGGCAGCTGGACTTGGGAGCGAGAGTGACAGAGACCCCAGGGCAGCTGCCCAGAGACTCCTGTCAGCCCCCACAGGAGTGCTTGTCAGGGCTTGGCCCTTCCCTTGGCCACAGCCTGGGTGGAGGGGAAGAGACCTGGGTGGGGGCTTCTGTGGAGGAAGGCCCACGGGGTGTGGAGGGTCATGGCAGAGCCTTTTCCTGTCACACCTTTACCTTTTTCCTGCTCTCTTGTTAGTTAATTGTTCTGCCAGGAGGGGCATATAGCATGCTTTAGCCCCTTCCTTTACCTTGAAGGTGGTAGCAGGACCTTTTGTTCTTTTGAAATGGGTGTCAGAGCAGCATCTGTGTGAGCCTCCTGTCCCTCACAGGTGTACCTGATCAGGGATTCTCCCCAGAGTGGACCCAGGTCTGCAAACAAGTCCTCTCGGCTGTTTATTGCCTGGACATTTGGCCTTGCATGGGGACGGGCAGTGTTGTGTTTCAGTGAATCCTGAGCTCAGGGATCACGCATGATATTTCACTCTCAGCAGCAGTACACGATTTAAGTGAGGCCGTTAGGGCACACACTTGTAATTGTGCTGCCATGAAAGAGTTCTGCAGGGCATAGAGGACAGATAAGGGAGGATGTTTGGTGAGCCAACAGGGCTCTGTGTCTTTGGGAGCCTGCTTGTAGTTGATTTGATTCAAAGCAATTTGTGATGAAAGAACATCTCAGTTAAACTGTGAGCTCATTTTTAGTTGCTCCCACCACCACTGTGTGAAAGGGAGAAGGAGAGAAGGGGCTAGGCTTTAGGAGCGCGGTTGTGCAGAGAAGCGCTGGGATCGTAGGTGGGTTGCGAGAGGGGACCCGGGGCAGCAGGCTGCCCCGCTGCCTTCCTTTCCGCAAAGGGTCCTTCCATGTATTTGCTTGGTCAGCCACGCAGGACCCCCTCGGAACAACCCACGAAAGCCTCACCTCTCTCCCACTTGGAAGATTTTCATCGGCTCAGGTGCTCAGTTGAGTCCCTTCAGTCAATTTCAGGCATTTTTCTGTAGCATTTGGCTCTCATGCCCAAAAAGGCCAAATACTTTAAACACCACCGGTGGTTGAGAAACACAACTTAATCAGGGTGGAAGTAACTGTCCTGAGTACACCAAGAGGAAAGACGTTCTGGGTACACAGGCGATTTGGATTGATGTGTTTTGGCTTTCCTTTCTTCCATATTTATATTTAGCAAAGCCAAGTGCCGTTAAGGAAGAAGGCTGTTCAAGACCCTGTGATGTATGGCTTCGGAAAGACTGGGTCTGAACAAATAGTTGAGAATTTAGGATCAGATACTAAGACATTCCTCAGTCACTGCCTTTAAAGTGTAGCTTGGGTCAGTTTTCTCTTCGCAGCTAAGGTCTTTTTACGCTGAAGTAGGGGGGCCAGTGTGGAGGCAGGGGAGAGAGCTATGCGAGAAAGAGCTCGGTCTGTGATTCCAGCCTGCAGACCTGACCCACCCGCTCACTGCTGTTCTGTCAATAAGGTTTGGGTAACACAGCCATGCCCTCCGTTCATTGTCTGTGGCTGCTTTTTTACCACAGTTGAGTAGTTGCGACAGAGACCATATGGCCTGAAAAGCCTGAGATATTGACTGACTTTACAGAAAAAGTCCCACTCACTCCTACCCTAGGTCCACAATGCTTCCTGTGGCGAGATTTCCAATGTCCAGCAGCCCTGTTGGGCACAGATCAGTCTGAGGCCCTTTGCGATTTTTCTACGACTCAGGTGCCCTCGAACGCACCTCTTTTCAGAAGGGGGTTGAGAGCTCCACCCAATTCGGCCCCTTCACAGGCCCATGTTCCCAGGGCACTGGGTCTAGGAAACTAGACCACGTGTATCACCCTGCTGCCCTCGGTCTTGCTGCTGACAGTTCTGAGACAGAAGACATCAATAGATGATAGAAAACTTGAAATCCAAGAGCTGTTTCTTAACCAACACGCCCCTTGGCCAGTCCAAGAGCTGTTTCTTTATTAGAACATTTTTAAGCAAATCTAAGTTTAATCCAGACAACTCGTAACATGTTCTGCTATCATGAGACCCTCACCTTATTCTAATCTTTTGACATTCTACCATCGTTTTTAAGCCTTGATGCTTCGGGCAGGGTCGAAGGTGAAAAGCAGTTACGTCCAGTGCCAATGGTGGGCACTGCTGTTGCTGAAGTGAATTCATGGACATTCCACGTGGGGAGAGAATCCTGCGTCAGGGGAATTGGAGTGTCTAGTGACTGGGGCCTCATATAATCCCATATGGATGAACCAGGCAGTGGGACACAGACGTGAAGAATGGACGTGTCTGGAGTGCAATCAAATGGCAAAGCTCAAGGAGGAACTGGCAGACCGTAAGTTTGCACAGTTACATTGGGGAAGTGGGGGGCGGGGTGCCTAAGTAAGAAACAAAAGATTTCTTAAGGCTGATTTGGGGGGAAAGGACTGATTGTTTTCTGAAGAACCACCTGTCCATTGACAAAATTTAGTTGTACAAATTGAGTTTACTTCCCAGTGGTTTTCTAGAATGCATATCCATCTGGAATTTAATTGAACAACAGCCCTTTGTACGTCTTCAGTTGTTCACCTTTGCCAAGAGTAGGCCAAGGAAAATTTCGCCTTGTCCCTTTAAGCAGCTAGAAAGCTGTCTTAGAGAACAGTATTGCAGCAAGTCTCCAGTGCCAGTTAATTCAAGTGATGTTAAAAATCTGATCTAAGCTTGTGCTTCTGGAAATGCCATGTGCATGTTTTAGGGGCCTGCTGGCGCCACACCCTGGCCGACAGAACTGGCAGCCAAGACTTGGGTTTACTCTTTGCCTCTCTGAACCCACTCAGCAGTGGCTCTGAACATCGGTGCCCGAGATGGGGGTCAAAGGAGAAAGATTGGAGCTTGTGACAGGGTGTCCCTGTGATCCAACTGCCTGACCTTGGGCAAATTGTCACCTGAGCCTCATTTGTAAAATGGCGATAACATCATCTGCCTCCCAGGGTGATGGAAAGAGATGACAGATGTCAGATGCAGGGTCTTGTCATCCTAGAGGATACTCCAGTCGGTCGTTACTCGCCCCGGTGTGCAATCTGTCACCCTCGCCGCTCATTGGAAGATGGATGAGATCGTCAGCTTTCTTCCATGACAGTCTTGGTTACCTGGCAGAGACCAGCAGGAGCTGGGATTAGAACAGGTCGGGAGGGAGAGAGGAAAGAAAGAAGGGTGACTCCTGACATCTCTGTCCTTGTGGAAAACTTGTTATGAGCAGAAGGAGCTTGACCTGGAGCCAGGTGGACCGCCTTCTGTCTCCTTGGGGCATCTTAAGACACATGCTCAGCCTGCTTCCAGCCGTTCCTGCCTGAAAGTCTCCCTCACTCACAGCAAGTCTCCTCCTGCCCGAGACTCATAATCCCCTTTGCTGCCCCCCATCCCTGCCCATCCCTACCCCGGGGAACCACCAAGCTCCAAGTATGTATTGAGCTGCCACCTTCCAGGGACTGTGCACGCCGGGGGTAGGCACCAGGGGACACAGTGGAGACCAAGACAGCTAGGCTGGTGTGGTGTGGTGGAGATGAGGCCGCTAGGGTGGACACTGAGCGGGAAAGGCAGTGGGGCGGCGTGGGGAGGTGGAAAGGGACTTCGGAGTGAGCAAGGGACAGGGAGTAGCCCTCTAGGAGGGCAGGCGGACGGCCAGCACGGGGCGGCAGAAAAAGACCTTCCAGTGGAGTGGACCACATAACAAAGTTGACAAGCGGGAGCACGTTTGGTCTGAGTTCTGTGAGGCTGGGGAGGCTGGTGGGCTCTGTGAGCTGCTCATGGGCTCCAAGACTGGTCCCCGGGACAGTGGGGGAGAGCACAGCAGAGCGGCCATTCATGGCTGGTGACCAGGGGCTGCCTCCCAAGGCCG